ACACCAACTTAAGAATGCCAAGTTGTCTGTATTTAACTGACTGGGAAATATATGTTTCATTATATTTCTAAATGCTATATTAATCTTCTGCATTTCAACTTAGCGAGACAGTCAAATTAAACATTTTGGAACAACCTAGTTATATATCTTGGCTTTATGTTAAAGCTATCCCCTGCTAGAAACACAAAGACATACATACGTATCCATTAGGAATACAAATTAAATGGAAAAGGATAATTAATTTAAGGACAAAGGGCATAAGCAATAAGTTTTGCTTTAGATCTATTAGAATTCCCTTTTTAAAAAAAGTACTACAAAGCAATGAGGAGAATTCACCTACAGTTTGCCATTTTGTTTAAATGAAGCATTCTACTGAATGAGCCAAACTCCCTCTAGGGCAATTAGCAATAAAAAACTTACGCTGTTCCAAAAGATAAATTAAGTGTTGAATGAAAAATGTTGTCTTACCATGTCAATTTCTTTACTGCTACTGCCTACGCCAATTTGGGTGTGGCTGGAAATAATTTAATTCTATTCCTGCAGATGATTTGGACTTCTTCTAATATACTCTCCGACCAAACTCTCTCAAACTGTGGGTTGGGACCACAAAGTGGGTCGCAACGTCATTTTAATGGGGTTATCAGGGCTGGCTTGGACTTGCTGGGGCCCGAGCCCGAGCCCCACCACCCGAGGCCGAAAACTGAGTGTTTCAGCTCTCCATGTTGGGACTTAGGTTACAGGCCCCCCACATGGGGCTGAAGTCCTGGGGCTTCCGCTTTGCCCTTCCAGGGTCAGCGGCATTTGGGCGGGCTCAGGCTTCGGACCCCCCCCTCCTGGGGTCGTGTAGTAATTTTTATTGTCAGAAATGGGTCGCGGTGCAATGAAGTTTGAGAATCCCTATTCTAGAAACTATCATTTCTATTTAGATAATTAATCTTGAGCTAGTTACAAAAGAAGTGGGAGAAAAAGCAACCTCAGCGCCAACAGCCTATGAATCCCAGGGATATCAGTGGGAGCTATATGTAATCAGCACCTATGAAAAAAGAGGTTATTTTTAGTTAGGAACCTAAATATGGGATTTAGGAGACTAACTTTAGGTTTTCATACTGAAATACAACCTAGATATTCAAAAAGGGAAAGCATACAAGTTTATTTAGGGGAAAAACATGAGTTCATGCTCACTTGGCCAGTCCTCTTTGGCAAATATGTGTCTGGAGTTCCAGATAGCTGCTCAAAAAAGGAATGTTGCAGATTCCTCTTCATTTCCTCTATTTATTTATTTATTTTGATTAAAGTAGGAATTTGGAATGTTCAAGGCATTCTTCAAACAAAAACAGCTTATTAAAAAGCACAACAAGACTTTGTCAAAGTTCTATAATTAATTGAAAAACCCATACTTTTTTTTTATTAGTATTTTGTCTAAAATGTTCAGGGTTTGGGTTTTTTTCCCGCAATTAAAATTCAAATGTCCAGCAAAAACCTACAACATAATCAAAAACTCACATTTACTAAGAAGTTTCTACCAGCTCTACACAATAAATAAATAAATAATAAACTCTAAATAATTAATAATAATAATATTGTACTTAATATCTTTACCTAAGGAACACATTGAACATGGATATTAGTTCAGGCTCTCTCCTGAAAAATAACCATTATGCAAATATTATATAAGTTGTAATCTGTGTAACATGAATGTCTTTAGTTACTGGTTTAACACTTTATTTTTTCCTATCAAACAATAGTAGATTGACAACTGGAATGCTTGTGGATGTTACAGTTCAGTACATCTTTGATATACAGTGGAACCTCAGAGTTATACAGATAAGCTTTAGAAGTAATAAATAAAAATCATCGTAATGTTTTGTATTTAAATTGTGCCTTTCATTCAGGGAACACAAAATACTTTAACAAGATGTGCTTATCCCTCTTTTGCAGTTGGGGAATCTGAGACACAGGAAGGTTAAGTAACTTACCAGAATCACAAACCATGTCAGTGGCAGAGGCAGAATTAAAACTCAGGTCCTCTGATTCTCAGTCCAGAGCATTATCTATGGACTACATTGCCTTTAAGAATCTAGATCTTGGGAAACCAAGTCATACCCCATAAATAAAATGTTAGTCCTACACGAACCAAGGAGCATTGTAAAACTCACCACCTTCTGCTTCAATCTCAAAGTACACTTGTTAGATATTAGCAAAAACAATGGGGAGTCCTTGTGGCACCGTAGAAACTAACATTTATTTGGGCATAAATTTTGTGAGCTAAAATCCATGTCATCAGATGCATGGAGTGATAAATTACTTTTTGTAGTGACCCATCCACTCCCAGTCTTTATTCAGGCCTAATTTGATGGTGTCCAGTTTGCAAATTAATTCCAGTTCTGCAGTTTCTCGCTGAAGTCTGTTTTTAAAGTTCACTTCACCTCCACCATCAATCTCAGCATGGACCAGTCCACACAAGAGCTCAACTTCCTGGACACTACAGTGCAAATAAGCGATGGTCACATAAACACTAGCAATTTTCCCTCTGCTGATATTCACACCTTCTTGTCAACTGTTGGAAATGGGCAACGTCCACCTTGATTGCATTGGTAAGGCAACTCCCATCTTTTCATGTGCTGTGATATATATACTGCTTACTGTACTTTTCACTCCATGCATCTGATGAAGTGGGTTTTAGCCCATGAAAGCTTATGCCCAAATAAATTTGTTAATCTCTAAGGTGCCACAAGGACGCCTCGTTTTTGCTGATACAGACTAACATGGCTACACTCTGAAACTTGTTCGATATTGTGTTTTCTAATACAAACACATAACAGCAACAAGTATGTTTAAAAGAAATCATCACCAGCACATCAGAACAAAACACTACATGACACACCTAGAATTGTCTCTGTAGAGAGAGAGGAAGTGAGAAGAAATCCCCCATACGTTAGCTATGTCCCTTAATGCTTCCTGGAAGGTGCTTAGACACTATAGTGATGCAGGCTGTATAAAAAACATGCATAGAATAGAATAGTCCTGAATGCTCAATATTTTACTTGTGCTGCAGAGGCTATTCTTGACCAGCAGGATGAATTTTAGTAACACTGAGGTCCTGCATAAGAAGCACTCCCTTCCTACACGGTAGATGGTATTTTAAGGATCCAGGGCTGTCTGGACAATGCTTCTTTTTGATAGACTTTTTTTTTAATCTCTTTCCTTGTGACTTTCTGTAGGATCTGAACTTTAACAGCTGGAACTATTGATATCAGCATGAAGAGTACTATTCTAGAATGTCGTTATCGTTTTGTAATGCTTCTGTGTTTTTGCCAGTGGAAACTGAGAGAACATGCTCCTTTCCATTCCTACAGTTGCTTTATGAGGCTCAGTTACATGAGTCACTGAGATTATTGCTGTTCGAAGTTACTGTTGTATAAACATCAGACATTCCTGACCTTCTGAAAAACACCATCAAATCTATAAAGCTGTAACAACGTCTTGAATTTAATGATATAACCATTTTATGCTACTCATGCACTGTAAATTATTTGGAGAATCATAGAGCAAATGAAATGAAGATGAGACTAGGATGGGGCGACGAAAGAGGTTAGTGGCCCCTTGCAATGCAATTACATGAGGGCATATCACAATAAATGTAGGTTTAGCAGAGTTTTGCATTCTTCATAATTAAAAGCTGTAAATCATGACAGTTTCTTGTCATCTTATATTGTTTTACTCTAAAGAAAAATGTTTTGACTTATTAGTTCGACATCTTCAACATCAATTAGCAACTGCAGCCTGGAAAAGGGCATTTTTTACTACAACATTCCATTTCAGATCCACTCCAAAGACTAGTGACAAATGTCTTAAGTCTGAAACCTCACTTACAACCCTCAGGTATTGTAGAGAATAGTGAGTGACCACATACATCATAACAAGTGCTGCAACAGCATGTTGTGAAAGGATAGGATCATATTGGAATTTCAGCCTTACTATTTCTGCATTTCACATCACCCAAGTATGTTTATGTTAAATTTCATTTTAAATGTAATTAAGCAAACAAAATGAATGGTTTCATTTTGGTGTGTAATTTAATAGCCACTAAACTCACATTTTTTTAGGATTACTGTATATATGAGAGGGGAATGTAATAGCTGAACTCAAACACTATTTTGTAGGTCATGAAAAAGGATCGTTTCATATTTTCCTGGCAGAATGGAAACTTTTTTGACCAGTTGTAGCTAATGGTATTTTTGTTTTGTAGCAGCTTTTTGTTTAATTTGCATATTATAATTCTCAAAAACAGTTCAGAGGTTCCATCACGACAAACACTCTATACATCACTTTGATAAATACTATGAATCTGAAATATTGTGGTAAATCTCTTTCACATATCTCAGACTCATAGACTTTTAAGGTCAGAAGGAAACATTGTGATAATCTTGTCTGATCTCCTGCACATTGCAGGTGACAGAACCTCACCCACCCACTCCTGTAATAGACACCTAACCATTGGTTGAGTTACAGAAGTCCTCAAATCATGATTTAAAGACTTCAAGTTACAGAGAATCCACCATTTACACTAGTTTAAACCTGCAAGTGACCCATGACCCATGCTGCGGAGGAAGGTGAAAAAACCCCAGGGCCTTTGCCAATCTGTCCTGAAGAAAAATTCCTTCCTGACCCCAAACATGGCGATCAGTTAGACCAGGGGTCGGCAACGTTTGGCACGCGGCTCGCCAGGATAAGCACCCTGGCGGGCCGGGTCAGTTTATTTACCTGCTGACGCAGCAGGTTCGGCCGATCGCGGCCCCCACTGGCCGCGGTTCGCCGGTCCGGGCCAATGGGGGCGTCGAGAAGCCGCAGCCAGCACATCACTCGCCCGCGCCGCTTCTCGCCGCCCCCATTGGCCCGGGACGGCGAACCACGGCCAGTGGGGGCCGTGATCGGCCGAACCTGCCACGTCAACAGGTAAATAAAACTGGCCCGGCCCGCTAAGGTGCTTACCCTGGCGAGCCGTATGCCGAACGTTGCCGACCCCTGACCTAATCTCTAGAGTGACTGGCTGGGAGGATGCATGGAAGAGGCACATCATGATACATCTATGCAACAGAAACTCTTCCTCCTCTGGCCACTCTACTGGCAGTACTATCTATCCACTCTCCAGTGATGGGAACCTTATCATGGTTGGTCCATGCATGGAAGGAATATAGGATAAAAATTTCCTACACGCACATCCCCTCAAGCCTACATCTGCAGCGGGAGACACAGTTTAGCCCATAGCTTAATTAATGTTACAGTAATTGTGTTTGGCTGAGTAACTTTAGTGTGTTCTGCTAATCACCTGCAGTGTGGACTTTTAAAATACATTATAAAGCATTTGAATTGGGAGATAATTTTGTTATTCAATAACTTTAAATAATCTATTTTGGAAGAGAGTGTTTTTTCTTAAATGCAAGGTGTGTGGTTTAGTGAAACTTTGCATGGACTAAAACTTTGCATTATCTTAACATAGCAAAGAAATGTTTTTTATTTGTGTGTGTGCACAAAATTTTCCCTCCCCCCAAAAAACCTGTGAGGTACAAAGGAAGTGGTCCATTTGATTCAAATTGTGTGTGCCCTGCTGTGTCTTAAGTTTTTGGACCAGGTTCAGATCTTACTGTTTACCATCATTGATTTCCGTTACTGCTGATTTATATTGATGTAAAGTGAGATCAAAATCAGGCCCTTTGTGGTGTTCTGGGTTTTTTTAAGAAAACTTTTTTCAGATTCTGCCAGTAGTATGGATTGGACTTTTGTGCCTTTAAATAAAACTCTTGAATTATGAGATTAAACTGGCTAATGTGCACTATCATCTTATTTTATAGTGGTACACCCATATTGCATTGTAATAGATTCAAGCTACAGACTGATACAGTATGTGAATAAGTATAGTTTAAAAGTCATATAATGGATAGTGATGTAAAAATGTAGGAAATATGACTGACTCAAAACTTCCTTGACCAGATACTATGTGCTCCTCTCGCTAAGGGAGAAAGAAGTGGTTTTTATTAAAAAAAACAACAAAAAACAACAAAAAACCCACCATAAGTTATAAACACACTAATGAAGTCCCATAGGGCCTGTTTTTCCATCAATGCATTTCACTCAGGCATCAGATGTTTCTTCAGGCTTATTACTCCTGTTCTGGCTTCTGCTGCTAATTATAAAGAAGTTTTTTTGGCATATACAATGCCATTGTTGTAATAGTGCCCCTAGATACCTGATTGAATAGATTATAGATTCATCTCCCTCTGCTTGCTTCCTGGTGGTTAGAAAATGGCAAAGGCCCAAAATGGTAGCATGGAGGCAACTTTATAACTAAATTTTTAAGGAAATTAGTAACTTAAAGTTTTCCAATTCAAACAGTCCCAAGGATCAATAATTTTTCTGATAGGAAAAGTTTATTCCTTCCTTAAAGTATTTGTACTGGTCCTACAAAATATCTACCAGTGAAATATGAAATCTTAAGTAATGTCATGCTGATTAACCTACTTGTTTCCTGTTTTTGCCCTCACCATTTAATTATGATGGTCATGGTATAAGAAACAATACAAAATAGACATTACTAACTGTTGACATCTTGTGTGCTGCTAGTTAATTTAATGTTATATTTTTATGAAAGCTGGGATTCCAACATGTTTTCATACAATATCCAGCATTAATCCTAACTCTTGAAATGTCAGAGATATTGGTTGGTTGGTAAAATAGTGAAAGAATCAAAGTTTGGAAATTAGTTGACTTGTGATGGATAAAGAATCATTAATTTTTGTTATTGTTAAACTGATAACATTACCTGCCATGCAGTGAGTTTGTTGTGGCCAAGTAGTGCAGCATATACATAAACGCACACATTCATCTTGTACCTGAACAGCACGTAGGCAAATAAAGTACCGTAAGTTCAGAAAACTGAAAACCTTTCACTGTGAATCCTCTTGCTTTTGTTGTTTGGTCAGTATTTCCATGTTTTTCCTTTTTTGTGTGTTTGTTAAATATACTGGAATTGCTTTTTCTTTTCTTTCCAACAGGACATACTATATTTTATATGAATAATATTCAGAATTAATTTGATCTGAAAGCTTAATCATTATTACTTATTTGTAATGCATGAGAGCCCAGATGCCTATATCAGGGTTTGGTGCCCCATGGTGCTGGTCTGTGTAAAATAAGACCATTCCTGCCTTCCAAAACTTATGGTCTAAACCAGTATAAGCAAAGTGAAAATTGTTTGAATTAGCATCTTGCAGTACACGGTGAGTATAGAATGGCATTTGTCTTATTAATTAATACTGTTTGTTCTTCCCGTTTTCTTTTCTTTGAAGGTGTGGTCCTTATATCCCTTGCTCTCTGTGCAGATGCAGTTATAGGAAATGTGCAGGAAAAAGCTATGAAGTTACACAATGGTTCCAATTCAGAAATGGTAAATACCTGACTCTTTAATCTAGTGTTCTGTCACGCAGACCAGTGGCTCTCAACTTTCCCAGACTACTGTACTCCTTTCAGGAGTCTGATTTGTCTTGCTTATCTCCCAAGTTTCACCTCACTTAAAAACTACTTGCTTACAAAATGTGAGATAAAAATACAAAGGTTTCTCAGCACACTATTACTGAAAAATTGTGTACTTTCCCATTTTTACCATATAATTATAATATATATCAATTGGAATATAAATATTGCACTTATACACTGAAATGTATTATATAGATCAGTATAAACAAGTTGTATGAAATTTTAGTTTGTACTGACTTCGCTAGTGCTTTTTATGTAACCTGTTGTAAAACTAGGCAGCTATCTAGATGAGTTGATGTACCCTCTGGAAGACCTCTGCATACCCCCAGGAGTACACTTACCCCTGGTTGAGAGCCACTGACATAGACTATACCAATACATATGGAGTTGGAATTTTCTCCTATTTTTAAGAGATATTCTACATAAGTCAAGATATACTGATCATGTAATGGCAAACCAAAACTTAATCTGTTTATCATGCATATAAAAAGAAAGTGCTTGTGCTGCTGTACTCACTTTTTACCTTCAAAGATACACATTTCTGTACATTATTAAATGAAACAGTTTTGAAGTTACAATAATTCTATCCTATTTTTGTCTAATATTTGTATAGACAGGAAGTATATCCTTTGTTTATGCATCCTTCCTGTATAACTGAAATCAATGGAGGGTTTTCCATATAATTAATGTACTCCAGGTTTAATAAAAATATAATATGTTCCCTTAGTTTGAATTATTTTGTATTTTGTCTATTGATTTAAATGTTTTTAAAAATCCCATTCAGCACCTAAGTACCTTTAAAAATCTGGCCATCCATATTATAGTGCTGTAGATATAACTAAGAAAAACACAACTGTGGGACTAGTAGCATAACAGTGAAATCTGAAATTGTATTGGCAAATTACATTTATAGGGGAGAGCAAGTAGACAGGGGAGATCAAACCCAAAAAAACAGTAGGCAGTGAGTTGACACTACCGCATAATTGCCCCAGATAATATGGGAAAGTAATCCAACAATTGATGTTTGTATCGCATATATACACATGCAGTTTCTAACACCTGTTGTAGTCAATTTGGTCCAGAGCTGCTGAAAAAACTGACAGAATTTTAATGGACTTAACATTGTAATTGATTTAAAAAAAAAATCCAGAACTTTGAGTTAAACTACCTTTTCCATAAGCAGTGTAAAAAACCAGACTAAACATCAAAAGTGACTGATTGCTGTTAAAGTTAAACCACAAAGGTACTGCAAAAAGAACAGCTCCTCTCGCTAAGGGAGAAAGAAGTGGTTTTTATTAAAAAAACAACAAAAACAAAAAAACCCACCATAAGTTATAAACACACTAATGAAGTCCCATAGGGCCTGTTTTTCCATCAATGCATTTCACTCAGGCATCAGATGTTTCTTCAGGCT